TTCCCTCTCATGCTTTCTATCTCTCATTCTCTCTCTCTCTCAAATAAATAAATAAAACCTTTAAAAAAAAAATTTTTTTTTAAGAGAGAGAGACCATACACAAGCTGGGGCGGTGGTGTGTGGGGAAGGGGGAGCAGAGAGAATCTTAAGCAGGTTCCATGCTCAGCACACAGCCCAATGCAGGACTCAATCTTAACAACCCTGAGACCATAACCTGAGCTGAAACAGTCGGACCCTCAACCGACTGAGCCATCCAGGCACTCCTAACCTTGCATAGATTTAAAGAACCCTAACACTTTGAGCTTCTGAACTTCGGCTAATGGTGGGGCAAGAAATAAGCAACGACCTCAGGCATCAGAAGAATGAACCATATGCAAGAAAGCAGATCACGGCCCACACTCCCTCTCAGGTATTGCTCTCATCCCACGGCTCCAACTCCCTGCTGCTTACGGAGGCCCTCAGCAAGAATCCAGGGCTACTCAAAATCCTCAGCCTGTGAATATCCGTTCATGTCTTTTTTATCTAAGGGGAAGCTTTTTGGGGGCCGGGCCTGTGACTTCTACTTCCTTCTCCTGCTCCAAGGCCTGGCTTCAGATTCCGAGTCCTGGCTCTGCCACATGACCATGTGTGCCTCCAGCACCTTTTATGTGTAACTAATTATCCCTTACCTCACCAATTCCTTAAACTAGTGGGAATACTTAATATAAGGCGACAGAGGTAAATCCTGTGCATAAACTTACACAGCATCCATCACATGACCAATTTATCCATCCTGGACCATAAGGGACTGGTGAGGGGCTAGACATGTGCCTTAATCATTGCCATCACATCTCAGGCTCTCATGACGTATGTGAATAACAAAGAGACAGCTGCCACTGCTGGAGTGCAAAGTAACCATTCTCTCTTTTCCCAGCCCAGGTTCTAAACCAACTGAGAGATACGAAGGAGTTAGGCTGATAAGGTCAACTGTCAGCTTTTTTTTTTTTTACTGATGGAGCTACGGGAAGATGGCTTTGGTGACCAGACATACCCACCAGGTTCCAAGTTGATGTGAAAACCTAGAGACCCTCACATATCGGGGCTACCCCCAGAAATGGTGGCAGAGAAAAGCAGACTGGAATCTGTGCTTCCAATGGGCAGCTGGATCCCAAGAGAAAGAAGGTGCTAAGCGACACGTCTGGTTCTTCATCCCAAATCAGTCAGGAAAGGAACAAGGAGGGCAAAGCGCAGAAAGATGGGAGTGTTTAAGGAAAGCTCCAGCTCAGAGGAATGAGGAAAGAGAGAACAAGCTCCCTCCCTCCAACAGTTTAAAGTCCCATATGCCTTTCTCCTGACTGCATGCATCTCCTGGCTCTCCCTCCAAAGGTCACCGATCTTCCTAAAGGACTTGGAAGAAAAGGTAACATGGGATCAAACAGTCCTAGTCGTAGCCACACCTTTCTAGTCCTGCTGCTCCTTGTGAACAGCTGTGCTCTCATCCTATGCAAACCACCCCCAATGCCAGTTCCAATGGTCATCAACATCTCCCCCTCTTTGTTCTGCTATGGGGGGCCTCCAGAACACTGTCCAACGTTCAGTGAGGACTCAGGTCTAATTCACAACCTTGTCCCCCACGTCAGATCCTGAGATTAGACCAAAGAGATCCCAATCCTCCTGAATGAATGATGATTTGATATCAGCTCCCAACTCCTCCCTTGAGTGACATCAACTCTAGTTCAATCACTCCCTGTAGTTACCCTATTAGCTGTAACTACTCTCTGAAAACAAGCTCTGAGAGCCAGTTCTTACCCCTCCTCCCAGTGCTCTACACTTTATCTGCAGACAGACCATCAGGCAGAATCTTTCTCCATCTTTTACAAATGGATTAGGTTCTTAAATTCACTACCTTTGCCATCCTACAACACACCTGTGCTGAAAGGCATACTGAAATACTTTCCAGGCTCATACGTTCTGCTGTACATGTCCAAAGCACACGCTCTTATTCACCTTTCTATCACTAGTACCTCTAACACAGTGCCTGGCAGGAAGTAAGAGCTTTCTAAACATTTGCAAAATTCAACTGACAAAACAGAACATGAAAAATAAGACGATGGTGCTTAACTTATGAAGCAATAAAGTTTTCTCACCTACTAGTGTGAAAGTTTTCTTTAATGGTTTTAAAGAAATCAACGTAGTAGGTCACAACAATGGATGCCAAAATCCAGAATCCAGAATGGATATTAAGTCTTGGAAGAGGTTTCTCCTTTTTTTCAACAGCTGTAGAGGCTTCTGCAAATAAGGAAGATTTTAACTTATCAAGTTACCATAAATTTATAAGGAAAAAAATAGCTATTTTAAGCTGGATAAAATAATTTCCTGGACCTTTCCAAAACCCAGATTCTCTCCAATTAGAGTCCCAATTTCTTCTGAACAACCACCCAAAGAGGTTTATATATGCAGAAGTAATTAATAGGAACCTGCCATAAAACATGTTCAATATAGGAAACTTTTTCCCTCTAAATTAATTTTAAAATCAAATTTACAATTATTATCGTCTTTTAGAAAAAATGACACCACCAGGTAATGTAGAATTTTAGTATTATGTTTCATATATTGCCTAAGAAAGCAGTTAGCCTTGTTAATTAAGAAAAATGCAGACATCAGACATTACAGCACAAAATGGACTTGTAATTTCCCCCAAAATACTACTTTTAACTACATATTTTAATTATTGCAAACAAACACAACCTTTTGAGGCAGCTTAAAAGTGGCAAGGGCACACTGGAGGTCTAGTCTTGGCACAGTACTGTCTAGACAGGTGATGGACAAATCAAATTTCTTCCATTTGAGACACAATCTGAAAGAAAAGGTGGCTCGGGTTGGGTCTGATGAGTTATTTCCTACAAGTTCACCAGATGAGTGACGTGCCCTCTCTCTCAGTTCTTGTGAGAACCACTGGAATACAACTGAGGTCCCCAACCTTTAGCAAGCTATCAGAATCCCCAAAAGCCATGTTCATAATATAAATTCTGGGAGATAGCCTCAAAATTTACAAATAAGCATGCCTGGGCATGATTTCTGTTTATTTTGAAAAGGGTAATAAATGCACATGCTTTACAACATACAGGACAAGATCTACAATGAAATCTCCTATCCCTAACCCTAGTTTTTCAACCCCAAAGCAATTACCAATATAACTTCTATGAATTCTTCCATATTCTATCTATTTACAGGAGAACACACATCACACGTTAACAGGTTCGTACCCAAACGGTGGCATACCATACTTTGTTCTGCGCTTCCCTTTAAAAATCATCCACCCTGGTAAAAAAGAAAAAAGTCTGCCTGCTGTGTCATGTATGAATACATCTAAATGTATTTAACCAGCTCTCTGTTTATGGGCAATTAGATATTTTCAGCCGTTCGCTATCACAAGCAAAGCTGAGGTTAAACAAGTTGCACATACGTCGTCGCGTTTGGTAAGAGCATAATTCTTCGGTAGATTCTTAGAAATACAACCGGACGGCATTTTTTTATTTTAATGGATATTACGAAACAGGTGTTAAACCAGCTCTCCTGAGAATCCTGAAGCGCAGCTGGGATGAAGATGCGCGGGGCTACGCGATCACTAGGAATCTTTTATTAAGCTAAGTACACGACTTGCAAAACTACTCGGCAAGCCTTGAAAAACAAAACCCGGTCCCTCCTGCCAGAGCGGGGCTGCGGGAGGCCCGCGGAGCCGGCCGTTTCCGGGCGCCTCGACTCCGGCCACCTCGGCGCGGCTCGGGGCGCGCCCGGGGGAACGCCTCACCCGGCCCGGCGTAGCCCTCGCTGTCCAGCGGGGCCTCGGTGTCCGGCGGGAAAAGGTATCGCCGCCGGAGCTGCTCCCGGGCCCGCGGAGCGTCCATCTTGGCACCTCCTAGAAGCGCGACGGAAGTGACGCAATCGGATCTCTGCAGGAGGAACTTCCGCGATCGGATCCCCGACGGAGGGGCCTTCTACTGTGAAGGGTGGGGGTTATGTAGTCTTCGCGGTTTTAGTTGGTGAGAATCTTGGGTGGGGATGGCTTCGTAACCTCCAAGTTCGAGTACGCAAACATGATTTGAATTTCAAAATACTGATCTTGCCCCCGCCGAAGCTCTCCCAAGTGGATTCCGGCCTACGGAAGCCCAGAAGGACCAAGCTTATTAATGCCGCCGAATGCGTGCCAGGCGAGGGGGCGGGGCTAAGCGGCGCCGCCTCTTTCCCTCGGCTCTTTGAGGCCCGAGCCGCCTCTGACTCTCCTGCGCCCAAAGCGTCTTAAGCACCCCGGCTTCTTTTCTGCTCCTCCTCTTCAGGAGTCGCCCAGCTAGACTTGAAAGGGCCAAAGGCAGCCCCGGGAGGACGAAAGGCCAGCCGGCCTGTCCCAGGTGCCTGCTGCCGAGCCTCGGGCCCGGCCCCTTCCGCTTGGATGGGCTTGGGCAAGAGATAAACCTCTCTGGGCCCGGATCCTCTTCGGCACCATGGGGGTTATACCTGCCTATACCTTGGATCTGTTGTGGGGTTTAAGTGGGGAGCACCCCTGTGTGGTTCATGTTAGCCCCCTCCTTCTGACTCGTGAGAAATTGCTCCTGCCAAGAACATGGGAGCCAAATTTGTACTTGCCCAGAGAACTGCCACTTCCCATCATGCTCATCAACCAAAAAAGACTGTGTCACGAATTCCCAAGCTTTTCTCTAGCAGTAGTCCGGTTTATTACTCTCCTACCCCGCCCTGTGCATCACGTGTTGAGAAATGTTGTGCTTAACCACTGAAACATGATTACTGAGCACTTGCTCTTTGCTGGTAACTGTTAAGACACCATGCTCGGCAATGGAGATAAAGATGAGTAAGACATGACGTTGCCCTTGTGCAGCTCCTGGACCAAAGATGACTGCAGAGAACTACTACAGTGTAGTGCAGTGTTTATAAATGTACAGAAGCGGTTTTTTTTTTTATTAATTCAGTCAGCATTTTCTGAGCAGCTGTATGCGCTAAAGTGCTGGCGACAGAGGTGAGTTAAAATCTAGTGGACGAATTGATTTCGATACAAGGCCATAATAGAAATACTGTATGTGGGGTTATGGAGGCACCAAATAAAGGGCGGTGTGCTCTGCTGGGCGTGTGGGCACCAGGGACAGTGGCTTGAGGTGGATTGAGTACAGGGTTGGATAGCCCAGAAAGCAACCCAGGAAGTAAAATTTGAATTAATAAGCACTCCGGTATCTTCTATATGTCGTATTTGCAGAAGAGATGTAATAAATATTCAAGAGAAGAATGTCAAGTTTCTGCTGGTTGGCTTCTGTCATTCCTTCAGCTTTTCTAGCGAAGGAGCAAAGGATGTAACAGCTGGGCAGATCATATGGCCTTTCTACACAATACCTCCTTTTTTCTTTCGTTTTGTTTTTTCTTTTTCTTTTCAGACTCCTCAAGAACCAGGGTTCATCAATTCAAAGCCCACTGAGGTCTTTGCCCTCCCCTCTTCTCTCTCTTGTACAGGGTTAGAAGCCTTGTCAACAGGAAGTGAATTCCTCCTATCAAATACAGTCTTCTGTTGATTGTCTCCTTGCAAAAAGGTCAGTGCTGGCTCTCCCTTGTAACTGAATATTCCCCAGAGCATCACAGTGATTCCAGGGTTTCCATATGTAGTATGTTCAGGTCAGATCCGGTTTCCCCTTTGATGGTTTCAGGGTCTTTGTATTTGGATCTGAAGTCCTTTTAGCCTTTTTCCCCTGATATTTTTAATGGCACTACTTGTACACCATATTGATGATACTTAAAAGCAGGTTGGAAAAAGTCCAGTATTTAATGACTGCATCTTCATTGCTGGGGCCAATTAAATAAGTTCTTAACTGTGTGTTCTGTGTACCTTAATAGATACCTGATATCAGATTGCTACCAACCAAGGGATTTCATTTTCAATGTCAATTACTTACGGGGGGGGGGGGGGGAATGAAATTGACTATGACCTTTGCTGGCTCTCCTTAGCAACTTGGTTATGTCCAATGTGTTTATAGACTTTTGAATCCTGGCTCCATCATGATGGGTCCTTGGGCAAGGTATTTCATTGTTCTAAGTATCAGTGTTCTTATCTGTGACACAATAGGTAGTAGAGTGATGATAAATGTGTACTGATCACTTACCCTAGTCTCTGGCATGTGGAATGCGTTCAAGCAGGTAGTTACTATTCACTACTACTTGCTTGGCCTTCCAGATCCTGCTCACCTCCTGATCAGTTATTCTCTTCTCCCTGGGCTCCAGAAAGGATTCTTGTTGTGATTTTAACTTCCGCTTGTGCTCTCCCACCTGATTGTGGGCGACAACCATATCACCCACAATCAGGTCTCAGTCGGGTTCAAGATCTCACCACCCTGAGATCATGACCTGAGCTGAAATCAAGAGTTCGGATGCTTAATCGACTGAGCCACCCAAACACCCCATTTCTGCCATTTTAATTTTCTTTTCTTTATTAACAGTTCTTTTTTTTCACATATTGTCTATCTGTACGTCATTTTCCTGTGGGGATTCTCATTCTTTGCTTGTCTTTATGGGTCAGAGATGCCCAGTGCCTTGCAAACACCTGGCACATAGCAGGAATTTCATTAGCCGGTTTTCACCTTGACCCTTGGTCACAGTTGACTGGTTCACTGTGGACACACATCCCTTCCTCTGAGAAGCTACTTTTCCTCCTCTCTGAGGTAGTCCTGCAGAGTTCTCATGAGACTGAGCCTGTCCTAGGGGAGGACCCCGGACCCAAACCAGACCTGACAGTCCCTAGGACTTGGGCTGGGGCTGTTGGGAAGACCTCCTTTGTTGGTATAAGCTGTGAAGTCAATGTGGTCTTGGGGCTGCCACCATGCAGACCCATGGAGGAAGCCTACCGAGGAAGGAAGCTCTGAGATGCAAGCCAAGCGTTGTTGGTAGCATCGTTTCAATTCCTGACTCCAGCCAAGCCCTGGTTAACCTAGTTAAGAACACGAGCTCTGGAGCCAGCTGCCTGGCTGACTGGCGTTACTGATTCTGCCATGACTGGCTGTTTCAACGTTGGGCAGGCCATGTATCCGCTCTTCTGCCTTAGTTTCCTCGCTTGCAAAATGGGTTAAGAATAGCATCTACCTCACAAGATTGGGTAGAGATCAAAAGTATTAATACATGCAAAGTGTTTAGAACAGCGTCTGACCCAGAGTAAGTTCTCAGTAAGTTTTACCCGCCGTTATTAATCCATTGCTGAGACATCACTGATTTCTGAGCCAAAAAAACCACCAAAAATCATTTTTTAAGAAACGAATGCTACTTAAGTGGTTTTGTGTTACCTGCCACCCTGAGTCCAGACCAGTCAACTCTGTCCTCCTGCTGTGCCATGTAGCTGTTGCACTGGGCCCAGTGCCTGGCCTATGGGAAGTACTCAGTAAACGTTCGTTTGTGTCTCTTGGGATACCGCCCTTCATTCCGAAAAGAAAGCCAGTTAAAAAAAAGTCTTTTCATTATATAAGCAATGCAATGAAGTGCAGGTTTCTCTTTCTGCACAACTCCGTTTCCCTGATTAAAGCTGTAGAATTGGGATCGCTACATGAAAAGGCATGAACATTTTGAAGGCTTTTGATCACTCCTTTGAAAACAACTCCCGAATGGGCAGCCTGCGCCGCTTTGCACGCCCACCAGCAGCAGGTGGGAGAAACCATCTTCAACCTTTGCACCAACAACTGGCTTGATGATTTTGGTAAATTTTTCCCAAGTGATAATGGGAGAGGGGTGTTTCCACCATTTTATTTGTTTTTTATTTTTTAAAGGTTTATTTATTTTAGAGAGAGAGAGAGAGAGAGAGCAAATGGAGGACGGGGAGAGGGATAAAGAATCTCAAGCAGACTCAGTGTTGAATGCAAAGCCTGACACAAGGCTCGATCGCACAATCCCGAGATCACAACCTGAGCCAAAATCAAGAGACAGACACTTAATCGCCTGAGCCACCCAAACACCCCGTTTCTGCCATTTTGATGTTCTTTTCTTTATTAACAGTTTTTCTTTTTCACATATTATCTATTTGTACGTCATTTTCCTTTGGGGATTTTCATTCTTTGCTTGTTTTTACAGGTCAGAGATGCCTTTGAATATCAGATCTGTTGTCACTTTACTGTTTACTGTTTACCTTTTAAGTTTGATCATGTTCATACCTATGTTTAGTTTAGTTTTGTGTTTCTTCACTTGTAGCTTGTGGTGAAGGCAGAGTTGGGAACGAGTCCGCCGGGTGGGGTGTAGCTGGAAAATCCTGGCAGGTGGGAAATGCTCAGTCACTTAGAGGACGTACCACATGATAACTCTACCTGAACCCTCTTCAGGTGGACCTAATCATGCCCTGCCTATTTGTTAGGCAACTGGCTATACCAAGAGAGGGTTTTTAGTTAACCATAACTAAAACCAGCCCTAACCAGCCTAAGCAAAACAATAATGGCAACCATAGCAATAACCATTAGGATCATAAAATGCATGTGCATTTTTTTTTTTTAAAGAAGCCTTTTGGAATTCCTCTGAAGTATTTTACAAGATTAGAAGGAAACTAGGATTTCAATCAAGTCTGGGTGACGATAGGGCGCCTGGGTGGCACAGTTGGTTAAGCGACTGCCTTCGGCTCGGGTCATGATCCTGGAGTCCCAGGATCGAGTCCCACATCGGGCTTCCTGCTCAGCAGGGAGTCTGCTTCTCCCTCTGACCCTCTTCCCTCTCGTGCTCTCTATCTCTCATTCTCTCTCTCTCTGAAATAAATAAAATCTTTAAAAAAAAAAAAAAAGTCTGGGTGACGATAGCTCCAGGAGCGCCCACATGACTCGGCTTTGAGGATACCGTGAATCTGACATGGTGGTGAGCCTGCTGTCACCCTCTGGTCATTGCCACTTCAGGGCACACCAGCTTCTGACCCTTGG